CCTCCTTTAGTACTTTGTGTCCATCTGTTCTGTTTTGAGAATGGACGCTTTGAAATCTTTAGTCATGTAGGCCCCACCCAAAGCTCTGGTTTATCTTCTGCTTCAGTAATACCATTTTCTGCTTTTTTATTCTGTTTTCTACTTGATCGACTGCCTTCATTCAAGTTCATAATTTTTTTGTTAATGCCGACTCATTTCTGATCTCATGTTTTTCTAAAGTTCTCTTTTATGTAGTATACCTATTTCTTAAGTAAATATTTGCTCTGATTCTATAGTCTTCCTTCTCTGGAGCCCCATAATATTTTTCATTTGCCTGGTGGATTTGGATTTTTCTGTCTCTTATCCTCAGAGAATGAAGTCTATGCATATTCAGTATCAGGTATTACCCTGCATTCTTTCTAGAGACTGAAATGAGTCACTGTTTGACTCAAGTCCAGATGAAGGAAAAAGGTTAGCTTTATAGTAGATAAATTTGCCAGTTAGAAATTCATCTTCCTATGAAGCCTAGGAAAAGAGCCAGCATCAGCTCCAGAAGTAATCGAAGGGAACATTTGCCTCAGAACCAGAGACTTTTTTTTTAAGGTATTTGGTGTGGCACTCAGTAATTAGCAAGATCATTGTCACTTGGCATGGCTGCCCATATCAGAAAGCCAGCTGGTAGTGCTTTCTTCCCACTTATTTTCTGGGCCAGTCATTATGGCCACATGTAAATTAGAAGTAAATACAGCCAGAGATTACTTGATCAGTTGGAGCCATGAACCCCTTTTAAGGAGCTGAGTGTATTTTAAATGTACTCCAACACTCCCTGGCTTAGTTCACTCCAGCCGTCATCCCTCTGAACAGGGAGCGTCATTGTGAGTCTGTTGGGGTCTCATTTACTTATTTTCTGTCCACCTAATTACAGTTTCACATGAAGGGAATGTTGAGCCTTAAATGTTCTCCAACCTTCCATATTGATTCTTTCCAGTATATTTCTGGAAGTTTAAGCAATAGCTGGGATCCATCTGTGGCTTGATTCAGGGTTGATTGATCAATGTAGGGTTGATTCAGGATATTTCCTTTTCTTATATTCAATTGGTTATTTTCTGTTAATCTAGCACAGAACCATGAGCCTATGTAGCTTTCTTACTTGTAAATGGTATTTTATCTATCCATTTTTAAAAATATTATTTTTTTAATTTGAAGTATAGTTGATTTACAATGTTGTGTTAGTTTCAGGTGTACAACAAAGTGATTCAGTTATATATACATGCATATCTATTTCTTTCAGATTCTTTTCCCTTATGGGTTATTACAAAATATTGAGTAGAGTTCCCTGTGCTGTACAGTAGGCCCTTGTTGGTTACCTATTTTATGTGTGTGTATATATATATATATATATACATTTCGAACTATAGGGAGGGATTTTGAGGTAATTCATACCCAAAGACTGTAAAATGGATGAATGGGCAAGTCAACAGGTGACAAAGCTCATATTCTGCAAGTGAGTGGCATTAGATGTAGTTTTGCAGTTTTGAGAAGAATGATATAGATTAGAAGGCATGCCTAGAATGGAAAGTGGGGACCACTAGGGAAGAAGAGAAGGGGCAATAGTGACAGCCAAGGGCACCTGCGGTTAATGGAGCTGACTCACACTGCTTTGTGGTTTCCTGTACCTGGAGCTCAAGCAAAGGAAGTAGAGAGTTACGGTGAGGGCAGGCTATAAGAATTGCAGGGCAGGTATCTAAATACTTGCGAGAGTTCAAATAGGGATGAATTTCTTTAAAAATTCCGTGCAAGTCTGTAGTTAGCAGTCTGGGGCTCTGGGAAAGCAGGACACAAGATGTCAACGTAATCCAGCTTACTTGGCCAGAGACTGAATGACATCATTATTTAGGATATTGTCTTTTTTGTCATCACATCTCTTCCCCCATGATTTGTACAGTTTTGTAAATAGGCTGGGAAGTAAATAGGTTTCATAAATGTAATTTTAAGACATTGCTCCCTGAGAGAGCTATTTTATACCCTTTGAGGTAGTATTGCTTAGCTCTTATATTTTAAGAGTTAAGTAACCATATCCCATCTTACAAAAGGCTCTTATAATGTAAGAATAGGTTCAACATACACTTTTATGAATCTTCTAGTGTTATACACTATTATCTCAGAAATAAAGATCTCTTCGTCTGAAAAAAAAAAAGGTTTAACAAAAGCTTCAAAACTCGATATGTCTTAGATGCTTTAGGGGAAGACAGTTAATGTTCTTCTTCAAAATATGAAACTAACAATCTGTACTATTTACTATGTAGCTCAGGCATGTGTCACAGAAATCAAAACTAGGGGCACATCATGAGAGTTTTATATGGGTGAGAGCAGCCCAAGGTGCTCTCTTTCAGGGTTTGGGGAAATAGTTACTCTGCAGAACGTCTGACTTGCATCCTGCTTCCTGAAGGACTTTATGAAATTTTTGCTTAAAAACTCTCCATGCACTTTCTCACTTAATTTTTGTACACTTGGAGGGTTCATCTATGGAAAGGACCTGGGGTGGGTCCTGGTTCAGGTCTCTGCTCCATCATTTCCTGACCACATGACGGGGAACAATGCATTGGGTTTCTCACCTGTGAAATGAGTTAACAATATCTGCCTTAAACTGTATGTGAAATGATTGTGCCAGTGCTCAGCATCTAGTAGGTGTTCATTAAATCTCAGTCTCCTGCCCCTCCCCCTTTTGCTGTCAGCAGTGATGCCATATGGCATATTTGTCACATCCATTTCGATATCCCTTTCCCGACTGCAGGCTGGGTGCCCAGCATTCACCTTTTGGGCAGCTCTGTGTACTCTGATTATTGAAAATATTTTATGGTTTTATCGCTTAATGATTTAGCTCGGCAGAAGTGATATTGGGCCAGCACACAGAGCGTGAGTCTTTTAGAATAGAATCTCACTTGCCTGCTTGTTTTGCTTTTTGGTTATCATTGTTTATATATTTATATATTATATAATACATTTATATATTCATCTGTCCACTCCACATATAATAGAGCAAGAAGATGTGAATTGTCAATATGTGAGAAGGAAAAAGGAAAAATACAAAAGTAGGGGTGGCACAAAATGGTACCAGAAATAAGTTCAGTACGAAAGAGTGCACCATAGGGCCCTGTAATTTTCCCGGGGTAGGCTCGGCTCTCTGGCACCCCTCATGAAAGAGGAAATACACTCTGTGGATGTGTGCCTTTCTCCTGGGCTGTTACTTAAAATCACAGTGTGATAAACAGCAGGTATTTTTCCCTCTAAAACTGGGACTGAGGAGAACATCACTGTTGTCTTAGGGCAGCTATGGAATTTTGTGTGGAATGTTAGACCAAAATGTGGCTTGACAGCTTTACTTCTTATCTATTAATAAAAATAGTCACTCTGGGGCTTCCCTGGTGGCGCAGTGGTTGAGAGTCCGCCTGCCGATGCAGGGGACACGGGTTCGTGCCCCGGTCCGGGAAGATCCCACATGCCGCGGAGCGGCTGGGCCCGTGAGCCATGGCCGCTGAGCCTGCGCGTCCGGAGCCTGTGCTCCGCAACGGGAGAGGCCACAACAGTGAGAGGCCCATGTACCAAAAAAAAAAAAAAAAAAAAAGTCACTCTAACAGAAAGGTAGAGGAAGAAAATAGGAAGGTGCCACAGTTCTAAACAACTAAAACCTAAAGTGATTAAAACTACAGTATGAAGGCTAATACACAGAGACAGGATAAAAACCAGAATGTAAGGTTCAAAAATCAGAATGTAAGTTGCTGCCAAACCTTGATTGTTAGGAAACAGTTCTTCTGAGGTTATGTGACTTGCTCAGCGTAATCCAGCTCATAGAAAATAGTGCCAGAGGATTTGGCAAAGACTTGGGTTAAATATCCAACTCTGCCATTACTTAACTGCTCAAGACTTGGATCTTGTGATCCTGGTTCATAACTTTTACTATTATGAAGAGTATCCTTTGCCAATAGTTTGAAAGTATTCCAGTGTTATCTTGCATGCTGCTGAAACCAGAAAGTATATTTACAGACAAAAGCTCCCTGCAGGCAGGGGCAGGCTCAATTTTATTCATTGTGCCCTTAGTTCACTGTAGATGCTTCATAAATATCTTTTGAATAAAAGAAAGAATATTGTAAGATGGTATGAAACCAACCTAAAAATGAAAAATTTTCTTAAAATGAATGTATTTTCTTAAATTCTTAACCTGGAAAAATGTCCCCTTCTGGACTAAATTGCAATGTGGAAATTATCGCATAGGTCTAGCATCCTCTCTCTAAGGGTGTCGAGAGGAATTGAGAAATGTACTCTTCCTCATACGTGTGGAAGTCTGGTTTACAAAGCCCCCCCTCCCCCAATCCAAGTACTTCACTTTTTCTTGTGACCGACTCATGTCTATAACTTTGGGGCGTCTTGCCTTTCTTTAATCCTGAAAGTGGTAACAAGTTCCCTAAAGAAATGTAAACATGGGACACATTCACTTACGTCTCATCTGGGACTTGCTCGCTGCTCTAGGGCTGGTTCTGCCGTTAATGAAGAGTAAGGTTCCAGTCATCTCTCTTCTCCAACCCACAGGGTTTTTCATCTGCTAATGGGCAGGGTTGAACTGGGTGTCTCTAAGACCCTTGATACTATTATTCTTTTCGCCCTTTGTCTGTAAACTGTCAGCTCTTAATTGTGAGTCACTCAATTCCTTTGTTATTTAATGACAGGATGGCTCTTCCCTCTGCCCACTCTCCCTGTCTTCACAACTTGAAATCACCTGCCCAAAACATCTAGCTGTCATACCAAGTTGGATTCAGACTTATGAAAATACATCAACTGATTTGGATGAGTGGTACAGAAGTCCTCCCGTGAGATGTTAGATGCTCCCTCCCGGGTTCCTCTTTTCATTAAGCTGGTAGTTGGCATTTGGTATAGGGGATTTTTCACTTCCCGTGGCCAAAGGTACTTCACTCGCATACGCTAGTCCTCTGAGGCTGACGGTGGGTTTTCCTATCCTTTTCCAGGTACACAGTTGCTCCTAGCATGACCGTGATCTGATCAGCAACCACGAGAATCTGACTCCCGTGTGGGGTGCCTTAGTGCTGGGGCCTGGTCACCGCCCACAACTCCAGAGCTGCCATGGCTGCTGCCTCTACGTCCACCCCTGTCATTTCACAGCCCCAGGTATGTGATTCAAACCTGCATAGGTTTGGGCTAATCATAGTTTTGTTGAGTATTTCAATTGAATTTCAGAAAGTGTGTTTGACGTTGGAGATCATGTGTCTCCTTTGAAGTATCATTTGGTGGGGATTTTTTTGAAGAGTATTTTTGTGAGGGAGGTGCTTATGGTTTTCAGTGCCTAGGGTGTCTGGCTGTTACAGTAGGCATCAAACTCCAAATCAAGACAGTCAGTAGTAAATCCTGCTGTTGGCTTTTTTAGGGTTTATTTTGGAACAGATCTAATCTTTCTTTTTGGCTGCGTTGGGTCTTCATTTCTGTACGCGGGCGTTCTCTAGTTGCGGCGAGTGGGGGCTAGTCTTCCTTGCAGTGCGTGGGCTTCTCATTGCGGTGACTTCTCTTGTTATGGAGCACGTGCTCTAGATGTGTGGGCTTCAGTAGTTGCAGCACGCGGGCTCAGTAGTTGCGGCACATGGGCTCAGTAGTTGTGGCACATGGGCTCAGTAGTTGTGGCTCGTGGGCTCTAGAGTTGTGGTGCACAGGGCTTAGTTGCTCCACAGCATGTGGGATCTTCCCAGACCAGGGATGGAACCCATGTCCCCTGCATTGGCAGGCAGATTCTTAACCACTGCGCCACCAGGGAAGTCCAGAACAGATCTAATCTTACAACAAGTTTTCTGAATGTTGTCTTGATGTCCTCCTCCTATAATGATGATTATTTTGTCTTGACCTGTTCTAGTAACTTTGAGAAGAAAATGCAATTCCAGAAACTTCTGAACCACAGTAATATGAGTTACTTTTTCTGTCCAGTGAAGAACAGTCACATGGCAAGAACATTGTTCTCACTGTTTTACAGTCTGATCTATTCAAGTATTAACTGGACTCTTTCAGTTTCAGCAGGCAGCATGGTATAGTGGGGAAACAGACTTTGGAGTCATTAGGCCTGTGCTCACATCTCAATTGCTGGATAAGGTGCCTTAGTCATGCTAACCTCCCACAGCTTCCATTTCTTCTCATGTAATCATCTTTCACAGCATGGTTATGGGGATTAAAGGAGAGACGCTATGCAAAGCATGTAGTACTCAACAAGTGTGGTTTCCCACTTGCTCTTCCTTTGTCTTCGTCTCTTCCTTTTGGACTGTGACCTCTGATCACATTCATGAGAATCACTTCTAGGTCAAGGTTGAAGAAAAAAGTACACCTTTGAGAAAAAGCCATATTGATTGAAATTTGAATCATTATGATACAAAATATTGTTCCATACTTTTTTTCTTTGTATCATTTTGCAGGCTAAATTTTGTATATATTTCTTTTTTTTAATTGAATACAAGTTTTATATGATATGGGAGCCTTCGTAAGGAAATGAAGATCTGAAGAAACAGACCTATGTATTTTTATGCTGGGTGGGGTTTTATTGGGTTTTTTTTTAATTTTTTTTTTTTTAAATTAAGTACAGTTCATTTACAGTGTTATGTTAGCTTCAGGTGTACAACAAAGTGATTCAGTTATACATATATAGAGAGAGAGCGTGTCTGTGTGTGTATATATATATATTTTTTTTTTCAGATTCTTTTCCCTTATAGGTTATTACAAAATATTGAGTAGAGTTCCCTGTGCTATACAGTAGGTCCTTGTTGTATATATTTCAGGTAGGCGTGTGTGTGTGTAAAGAAGGGGACGGAGGGAAAGGAAGGAGAGGGAGAAAGGAGAAAGGAGCATTTCCACTTTATTTACTATAAATGCTTTTCTTCTCTGAAAGACCTTGGAATTTTATCACATGGATAGTCGTTGCTGTTCCTTGACATTATAAAGTTTGTAGTATCATTTTCCAGGATGTTTAGTGTTATCACCATCATGTGTATTTCTGTTTTCTGGTAAATGGATCATTGTCTTTTCAACACCTCATTTACTTTGGGTGTTTGGTTTCCATTCCCCTCAGTAGTGTTCTTGGTGCCCGAGAGAGACATGGTAAATGGGTAAAAAGATTTACTGCCTGTTACCGGAGGTCACCATTTCAAAGTCCACTGCACCTGTTCCCTTGCAATGACTATTCTTAGCCTTTTGTGGAGTGAGTTAGGCCCTAGTACAGGTTTTCTGGACAGGGCGTTTCAGCATCCCAGTCTCACTGCTCTCTTTTGTCAGCATTTCCAACAGCATCATCTTATCTACACATCTTCCCTCTTACACAAGCTACTATCAGCCGGTGAGTAATATAAATATTTTTAAATGACTCATTTAATGAAAACGTTTAGCACTGCCCTAGGTAGAAAGAGGTCATATTTAATATACACACTTGGGGAAATATATACTCTTGTAAAGTCTCTGTGGGAAAGTAAATTGGTCCAGTCACTCTGGAAAGTAATTTGACAGTATCTGTTAAAATTATAGACCTTTGCACATGCCCTGTTCCCATCTTGGTACCTATGTTAGAAACATGTGAGTCCAAGGAGATGTGCAGGAAGATATTCATTGACGCATTCGTTGAAGGCCAAGAAGTACAAAACTTTCTAATATTCAATAGTAGAAGGACTTAATCAAGTTGGTCACGTTGATATGATTTTAACACTGCAGTTAAATGATGGATATCTATCTATCTCAGCACAACTCTGTCTCCTCAAGATATCTCGTGGAGGGAAAAGAAAGCAAGATGCAGAATGATACTTACAGGAAGATATCATTAAAACTGTGAAACAAAACCATATGTTTTTAGGGATAAACATATGGTACATTAATGTAAATGTGTATAGTGAAAAGTCTGTAACACACATTGCCAACGGGAGAGAGATTGTTCCCAAGAGGGCAAAAATTGGATCTTGGGAGATGAAAAATCCCTCCAGAGCTTAACCTTGCCTGATGAAATCCTATTCCTTAATTTCTCCTTAGGGAGAATTTGAATTTAATTAAAATTTTCTCCTTGAGCATCACCAGTAGAAAAAAAAAAAGTTAAGAAACACTGGTCTAGAAGGATACACAAGACTCTTCAGTCACATTGCCTAGGTTCAAATCCTGGCTCCAGTATTTCGTAACTGAGCCTGTTGGGGGAGAGGAGAAAAGGTATCCACTCTCTCAATGCCTTGGTTTCCTCATCTGCGAAATGAGCATCATCATGAAAAAGCCAACTTCATAGGGTGGTTTTAGGGTTGAAATGAGATCGTGTGTGTAGAGCTTAGAACAGTATCTGACATATTGCTCAATACATCTCAGTATTGTTCAGCAAGCACTGTGGCAGGCCTAGGGATGCAAGAATAAATAAGATAAAGAAGGCTTTTGCCCTGTCAGAGTTTATAAATGTAGTGGGAAATACACAGATAGGGAAACAAAAAATTAGAATGCTGTGTCACAAATGCTATGACACGGGAAGAATGGGTGCTCTGTGGATAAAGTGGAACACCAGAAAAGACGTGTAGAATCAGAGGAGGGACTTCTCGAAGGAAGACTGCCAGGCTGGGAGCTTGTGAATGAGGATGAGTTATTCTGGTAAGGGAGAGGAGACAGCCCGTGTGAATGTCAGGCATCCCAAGGTGAGAGCTCACAGCATTTGCATGTGAGTTTAGGGGTGGTTGCCGTAGACTGGGGTATGAGGTTGTGAGCAGTGATGTCTAGAGCCAGCTCTGCCCGCTTACAAGATCTGATTGTTCAACTTTAAAAGGAATTTCGTGAGCCAGTTGACTTCATGCTTATAGCCTGAAATCAGCCAGGGTGGAGTATTTACACCACATAAATTGGCAAACACAGGCCCTCATTCCTGAGCACCCATTGTTAAATACTTATCGGCATACTTAAGGTTGTAGAAAAGGTAGATGTTTTAGGTTACAAAGTTGGAGAAGGTTTTGCAGGGTCTCGGAAGCCAAATGAAGGTATTTAACATTAACCTCAAACAAGCCTGTGTAGCTCGTGTGTCTTAGAGCTGGGTTCAGACCTTGACTATTAACAACTGTGTTGAAGCAATTAATTAAAGAATTTCAACCAGAGAAGTGAGTCCCATGATTCTCACCATGTGTTGGGAGCAGTAGTAGCTTCTGATAGTTGGGGGAACTCAAGCCCTCTTGGAAGGAGTCGGCTGTAAGCTGGGGTGTTAGGTCACAGAGAGAGGCAGCTTACCCTTCCGGAGAGATGCAGCTCATTGGGTCACTTGGTTCCCAGGATCCTCTCGCCCATGATGAGCATCTTGATTATATGTCAACTCTTCACATGTAATTTGTGCAGTCAGATTTTAATCCAAGGCTGATTTGCCCTTGCCCCCAAGCCTGTATTCATTGTAGTCTCTCCTATTATCAAGTTTTCCCCAGGTTCAGAGAAGGTAAAAGTAATTTAAATACAGCATCTCCTTAGGCAAGGCGTAATAAGCTGTTCACTCAATCAGCTTCACCCGGTATTGTCTGGCACATCAACTTGCATTCTTTTAGAGTGAATTCAGGGACCTGTGCAAAGATAAACCCACATTCAAGTGTGAAAGGCCTGACAATCCTTTCCTAAGACAAAAACAACAATTTAAAAAAAAAGCTTTTGGTTTTGTTTGGTACTCTATTCATTTGGTAACAAAGAGCATTTTTCTAATCAAGGCTGCCTATTACTAGATATAAACTAATTAATATGAACAAAATAGCTGGTGATTGTTTCCAACAATAATAGGGAAGAAAGGTTCATTGTCACTCTTGCTGGAATTGCTGTTTAGTCAGTGAAAGATACGCCTGGTGCTTTGAAGTGGGACAAGTTTGTATTCCCTGCTTGACTCCTGCCTAGACTGTAAGATGGATTTTTGTTTGCTCATGCTGAGAGAGACAGCACCTTGTTCTGAAGCTAGATGAATACTGAGGCGAAACTGGGCTAGCAGCAGCAGGAAGACTGTCGCTGCTTTGTTGTTCTGCTAGTCCAGATAAAGAGCACCCAAAGGAAGCTCTGGAGATGTTTGCAGACAGGAACATACTCATCCTTTGGTTAAACGAATGCGCTCTTACCCTGCGGGGATGGGAGAATGTAGGGGATGGAGGTAGAATAGGTAACCA